CTCATTTTAATTTAACTATTATAGTTTTTTAATTACTTTAATGCATTTTGTCTATTTTCTTAAAAATATTTGTAATTGTTATTGCACCCGCTACAATTTGGAAAATTTATTTTCGTCAATATTTTCGTTTCAGCTGTTATACCAGTCATAAAAACCATTTAATATCGTCTATAACCTCAACCGTAAATTTTTTACGTATAAACGAGTTGAATCCATAATATATTTGTGAATTAAGTGTGGGGATTAATAGGTTTTTAATTACTTCAAAATTATTTGAATATAAATAGTCTATTAACACACTTTTCTATATATAAGATATTGTTATCTTCATACTTTTGATATGACATTATAACATGTATTTTAGGAATGATGACTATTTAGCTCATTCATCAGGAATGATGACTATTTAGCTCATTCATCTGTAACCGATTTTCATGGACTAACAATGCAAACACAAAGTGTGAAGATAGCATGCTCCTATTGTTTGCTGGTTGTTGGATTAAAGGTTCCTAACTCATAAGCCTACTATAGTTTATTAGTTTAGAATTCCAACTCGTGGAGTTGTAACGGCTTCGTTGATTATGTGAATCTTCTTATTTTTATTTTTGTGGGCAAATCTGTGAATGTTATTCTTCTACAATTAACTCAAGAATAAAGACATGGATCATAAAAAACTTGGAAAATCGGACAAAATTGTTTAAAATGAGTTAATGACTATTTTCGGATTGCTAATATAGATTAAAAAGATATTGAATGATAAATAATATGATCAAATTTAACAAATACTTATAATTCATTTCCAAAAATAAATTGTCACTTACATTTTTAATTTACTTTTTTTGTTTTTTGATCAAATACCTAACTTTATAAGTTATAAACATAATATACTTCACAATCTATATATATTATTCTAAAATATTTTCCTATGTAAAACATATAACAAAAAGGTTTCAGTACCAAAAACAACAGACGAATGAATGATATAGATTAATAATTATACACAGAAAATGAAACAATCATATATAAACAAACGAAACAATTGTAGTATTCATGAAAAAAAAAATACGAGGAAACAAAAGCCTGGTGCTACACACATTGTGGGATTGAACATGAGAGTGATGTTTCAACATTCTCTTTCTTCACTACTTTCGTATAGTATTGCCTCTCTAAGCAAGCTTTTTGTGTACTTAGAACAAGGAAATTTATATTTTCTTGTGACCAAATCATGAAAATTCTGTTTTTGTCCCACTTTTGCAATCATCATTCTACTACAAAATGATGCTCTCTTACTTTAGTTTCGGCCTCTTTTATTCGTCCTCATTTTCTCCATTCATTGTTTGTTTGTTTGTTTTAACTATTTTATGAGTTTTCGAGAACAAGCTACTAAATTCATTGACATGTTGGTTTTGAATATTAAATTTACTTTTATAGTACATTATATTGTTAACAATTATTATTTTGACTTTGCATCGAAATCGTCCTCTCTTTTCTTGCCACTATCGGACATTGAACTCTTTCATTTTACAGCTACAAAATTTTGCAACCATAAAAATGTTTGAAATACATAACGATTTAATTTACATTATGAATACAATAAAATAAACAATTATAGCTCAAAGAGTTTACGGATACAAATCCTAGTATTTTGATACATTATTGTCAATGATAAGATGCATATCAATGCATTGCATTGAGCCATTGAGTCTACAACGTAACAACTTTTTCCTCCTAACAAAATGCATGATTAATTTACAGCTCATTTTCTAGTAATGGCAACAATTTGAACGATATAGCCAAACCATTGGACCAAATTAATGGCCAAACATTTGATCTAAAATATCTCTTTTAATCTTTTCTTCCTTTTGTCTTCTTTTTTCTATAGCTATTGATCTTTCATTTCGAATAATAGTTCTCTCAACAGGACTTTGAAAGAGGCAAGTCCTACTCTCATGAACATGGCTTCTCGAAGATAAAACCAAAGTCAATGTCAACCTCTCTCCAACTTGAAAATTTTAAATGCTCAATCATTTGAAAGGCGGCGAGTCTTTTGTATTTCCATTATAAACTAGGGAATCTACAATCGATGACCATAATTCTTGTAGGGGCGTTTTCGTCAAAATTCCGTGTGTCAGAAGAGAGAGAACTAAAAACCGTGTTTGCGTTCCCAAATCTTGTAATATCTAATCTTCTATGGCTTAATATTTTGTTCACCCTATAAACTATACAAAAACATCACCGTGACTTTCTAATTTTCTATGCACATAAAAACATTTAACTTATACCAATATATACTTTTTACAACCTTTAAGTCCAATTTCGACTACGCAAAGATGATTTTATTGAACTGGAAAACGACATAAGAAGTTGGCATCGGCTAATTAGTTGCATGTTATAAAACTCTAACTGGATGACTTTCTCATTACCGTTTTTTTTTTTATTGACGCCTAATTTGATTTTATCAACTGCATTTAGTTTCTTATAAGTTCATAACTTCATATATATACGTCAATATGTGTATATTATAATTGTTCGTTCTTCCTTTACTTGTCCTACTACTTTTTTGATGAAATGGTAATATTAAAAGCATACCATTTCTTCTAGACAATTATATTTCTCAGGATTCAATGACAATTAATAATATGTTATACAATATGTTAAAAATGTAAAAATAGACGCTAAAAATACATGTAAATGATATACATAAGACAAATTCACTTTTCAATTAAAAATAAAATAAGTATATATATACTTATCATTCGTGACGCAACTCATCACGCTATTATTAAAATTGAGGTAATCTATGAGATTTCTTCCTCTAACAACAATATGTCAAAGGAGACAAGCCAGTTGTATATACAAGGGATTGAGTGTTTTTTCCGTTGTATAAAATGATATTCTTCAATTATGCTAATCTTTGTATAATTTCTTAAGACTCGACTTAAGCTAGTAGCTTAATTTATAGAAATAAAATATATTTGTTATAAACTAATCATCATGATAATATTAAATAAATAAATAAAAACTCTCTTTCCTATGATACGATAATAATGAGAACGCATCTCCTATCATAATATACGTTTCTAATTTCTAAACACTTATTTTTTGTTCTCGTGTAGAAACATGCTCGAAATTAATCAAACTTAACTATGTTTTTTTTTGTTTACACGTTAGACTAGCCTCGTCGATGTAAGAACAAAGAAAGCTTACTAGTTACAAGTCCGTAACTATTAAAATTAATGTCTATATACATAAGAATATTGGTGGTTACGCGACCAAATTATTGCATAGTGGAAACATTTAAGGCTAATTTTTCCACCATCACTTTGCGTACTTGAATTGAAGAACTCTTTACATTCTCAGCACATCAAGGTGTCTCCTTTGAGATTAAAAAAAAAGTAGGAAAAATAAATTAAAAAGTACTAAAAATATTAATTTCGTTTTCAAACAAAAAAGTAGGGGTGGGCATTTAAACCGAACCGAACCGAACCGACCCAACCCAACCGAACTCAAACCGACCTAAACCGAACCCAAGCTTAGACTCAAACCATTCGGTTGGGTTTATTCTCAACCCAAATGGGTCGGTTCGGTTCGGTTTTAAACCGAACCGAACCGATAACCCAATGTGTTTATTTAATTAATTATTTAATTAATTATTTAATTATATTAATAATATTATAAATAACTAAATATGTGTTTATCTTTACTTTTATAATAATTTGAATAAATGTAAAATAGATTTAATTATCTCTAAAACTCTAACCCTAAAAAACTTAGGGTTCTCCTTCTAAAAAACTTACAACTTGAACTTAATATTTAATTAGTTTATCAATTTCAATGTTCAAACTTCAAAGACAATGAAATTTTTTGTTTTGTTACATTAATTGATTTTTTGAACCGAATTCAAACCGAACCGAAGTAAAACCGAACCGAACCAAACCGAACCAAACATAAACTGACCCAAACACAAACCGAACCAAACTAACTTCGGTTGAGTTTGGTTAGAGTTTTACGAAACCCAAATAAACCGAACCGAACCGAACCCAAACCAAACCCGAAGTTAAACCGAAATGCCCACCCCTACAAAAAAGTATGAAAATTCCGTCGACATTTTTGGGGGGACAATATTTTAGACTCGTACAATGCTTTCATGGAAATGAGTTTGTTGTTGACCGATGGCTTCCCTTTATTTTTCTTTCTATTTTTTATTACTAATTAGGAAACGCCGAATTGTGGTCATAATTTTCTTAGGTTTTTGAAACTAATTTTCACTACTCTTTTTGCTTAAAAGCAAGCATGTTAAAAAAATTTTAAAAATAGAATTTAATATTTTAATTAAAACAATTCAACCAATCATAGGCAATACTGCATAACATAAGTGATTAAAAATATTAAATATATTTAAATTTAGCATAGAAACCTACAAAACATCTACTAAAATGGAACAACAAAAAAAAAAGGGTATAACATATATATTTAGGCTAGATGGAGAATTAACTAGTAATATTTATAGTCGATGTATCATACCTTAATCATGTCCTCTCCAAAACGTAGCAAATAATTCAACTAGAATATATTGTCCCTGAATTAAGTTTCCCCTTTTCCTCTTATATGTTAACCAAATAACCATCATGTTTTTTTTTCTCGGTTTTAATAACCATAATATTTTATACTTTTAAAAAAAAATGAAATAAATTCAGACTACAATAATGATTCTTCTTTTTCATTGTAGATAAATTTCTTAAAAGTTGACTATATTTCCTGTCAGTATATGTCACGTTTTTTTTATCTATCTTTCGAGAAAAAAAAAATGTAAAAAATAGTTTATAAGTGTTACCACTAAAGTATTAACCACCATTTCTGTCTATTTTCTAAAGGAATCAAATAGTTATTTACTATCTTTTTAGTTCATCTCTTGATTTTTCTGTATAGGGTGGTCCCATAAAAGGTATCAATTAATTCACCCAACGATTATAAAACAAAAGTGTTTACACCAGAATATCGCCAATCATAGTTTCTCTCATTTTATAATAATTTCTCCATCTTCTTCCTTCCTCTTCAAGCTTATAGAACCTTCACAGATCATAAAACTCTCTCCAACTCTCTGCAACAATCTATACTTTCTACATTACTCTTTAAAAAAATGGGAAGACATTCTTGTTGTTTTAAGCAGAAGCTAAGGAAAGGTCTTTGGTCTCCTGAAGAAGATGAGAAACTTCTCAATTATATCACTAGACATGGTCATGGCTGTTGGAGTTCTGTCCCTAAACTCGCAGGTTCGATCTCCATGTACTTTTAATCATAAAAGCTTGAAAAAATTGTATATATATATCGTTTATAATGTTTTTTATATGCATTGGTGGATATATATGATCAAATAGGTTTGCAAAGATGTGGAAAGAGTTGTAGACTTAGGTGGATAAATTATTTGAGACCAGATTTAAAGAGAGGAGCTTTCTCGCAAGACGAAGAAAGCTTGATCATTGAGCTCCATGCTGCATTAGGCAACAGGTTAATTAATTTGCGACGGATTTGCGAGACATTTATATATAGTTTCTGACTTTATAATGTAGTAGTTGAAAAATGTTTCTTTGATCCATTTTGAATATGTAGATGGTCTCAAATCGCAACGCGGTTACCGGGAAGAACGGACAACGAGATCAAAAACTTTTGGAACTCATGTCTTAAGAAGAAGCTGAGAAGAAAAGGCATTGACCCAACAACACATAAACCCCTAATAACAAGCGAGCTTCAATCTCTTAACGTCATAGATCAGAAACTGACGTCATCAGAATTAGTAAAGTCAACGGGTTCGATAAACAACCTACATGATCAGTCAATGGTCGTCTCAACGCAACCAGGTCCATGGTGGTTCCCGGCGACTACAACGTCGACTAATCAAAACGCTGCGTTTTGCTTTAGTTCAAGTAATACTACTCCAACGGTTTCAGACCAAATCGTATCTTTAATCTCTTCAATGTCCACGTCATCATCTTCGACACCAATGACTTCAAACTTCAATCCTGCTCCAAACAACTGGGAACAACTCAACTACTGTAACACAGTTCCATCTCAGACCAACAGTATATATAGTGCCTTCTTTGGTAATCATTACACCGAAGCTAGCCAAAACATGAACAATAGTAATATTAATCCATTAATGGATCATCATCATCAAGACACGAAGTCATGGGCATCAGAGATTCTTCATTACACAGAACATAACCAAAGCTCAGAAACTGGTTTAGAAGCAGAAGTGAAGCCAGACATTGCCAAGTACTACTGGAGATCAGCATCATCATCGTCATCACCAAACCTAGAAGCTGCAACATTACTACATGATGCTAACGTGGAAGTGTACGGTAAAAATCTACAAAAACTTAATAGCATGGTGTTTGATCAAAGTCTTTAGATTAACATGTGTTTTAGAGAGTTTCTATTTCTATATTCACATTCATAGACCTGAGTTTATTGATTGATCCATTCATATATAATGTTCTGCTTGTGTGTAAAGTATGTATATGGTTTTTGGTTTGTGTAAATTTTCTGCTCGTGTGAATTTTTTTGGTGCTAAGATGTAATTCTTTTTTCCATCTCCTTGCTTATGACTCTGACCTTAATAGAGTTTCTTATTTTTTTTTATTTACTTACATCTATATTTTTACTTAGGGAAAGCGATCATAAAATTAAAAACATGAAAATAAATTAAAATAAAACATGTATCGGTCGCGGTAGATGGTCTTTTTTGTTTTAAGGAGAGGTTAATAGATCCTAAGTTGGAGTAGAGACTTCTTCGGAAAAGTGATTCCGGACAAAGAGATGCATGCGTGAACACTGAACCGAAAGACCCATAATTTTTTTTTTATTAAAACATTTGTAGTGGGTCTCAAATATAATATTCAAATTCTGGTATATTTTTTGGATTACATGTATACCGATCATTTTAGTATTTCAAAAAATTATGAAAAGTTTATAAATATTATAAAATTAAAAAAATTAACAAAACTATGAATTTTTACAAATCTAAAAGTACTGTGAAAATAAAGTTTATGTCAAATATGGAAAATCATCTCTTTTAAAATTTATTAATACTATTTTAAGAAATTAAACCAGTTGTACGTCTTCAGAAATTGAAGTCAGTAAATGTTATATTTTTCCCATAAAATTTTCTAGATTCAACCAGTTAAGCCTTTTTTTTTTTTTTTTTTTTTTGGTCTAAATTCAACCTGTTAAGCTATTTCCACTGAATCATGAGTGAATTTGTTGCAAAACATTTCAACCATATGTATCAAGTCATATTAACATATCAGCCTACCAAAAAAAAAAAGTCATATTAACATATCATTTTAGATAACTTCCAAGTAATTGATTAAATTATTGAAAATTATAAATAAATTAACGTTTCCTTATAATCTTAATGTTACTAAACTTCATAAAATAATATCTATAAAACTAAGTACATTATAGTTGAAATTATTTTTGGTATTAATATTGTTCATACTTGTTTTGCAGTCAGGGATATCATCTATCTATCAACTAAATAATTTACCAACAAAAAACAAAAAATCTATCAACTATATAGATAAATTTACAAAAAGGACAATTCATCTTAGAATGGAAGTCCATCGCTGTCCCCTTTGATACTCATTGTTTTTACATCTCAGACATCGATCTCCCACAGTTTTGAAAATGACAGGTGAAAATTGGAAGATGTAATATTCAAAATTATGAGTGAGCATGTGAAAAGACCAATTGTGCTGGTTGGTTTCTAGAATTTTAAGCTAATTAGTTCAACAACAAAAATATTGGAATTATTTATTTAGTTATAACTGATTTCACTACCAAAAAAAAGGTAATGTCGTAAAATATATAAAATAAATGATGTAAAATAACCTTTTTTGTTGTGTTTTGAATGTTTTTATTTTCGTTTAATTGTTTGGATTCCATTTTTTTTTATCAAATATTAATGATATATTACAAATATGATCAACTCTTACAACAAATAGATTATAGGATCACTTAGTGATGATAATCCAATGGTTGATCGTCTATTGGTATATATCATTGATCTTTTTGATGCACTATTTTTTTTCTAGCTTCTAGGAAAACTAACATACTGTAATAAGCAATTACAAGCTCCACAGATTGATCCTAAATTTTGGTTTATGATCATCGTTTGCCAAAACAAGAAATAAGTCATGCGTGTAGAAGAAGGGACCCTTGATCTTGTAAGATGGTGAACGACGAAATTCGAAGGTGGTGTAGTCTTCTGACAATATCCCAATATGTTTCACACGAGTGCAGCTTTTGAGTTGTTTTTTTCCTTTGAGGTGGACCAAAATTAAAGTTCTATGCTTGCAGAAGAAGGGCCCCTTGTTGCTGACATCTATAGGGTTGATATAACTTGGAAAAGCCATGCAACAGATAAGAAAAGCCAGCAAATATTTTTATTTAGAAAAATAAATTACTCGAACATTTTTACATTTAAAGATTTTAGTAAGGACAAATTATGATCCCATGTTACATGTAGGAATATGGATTTTTGGTTTAGCCCAAATTAACTAGTTTGATTTAGAAGAGTAATGAATATATGGTCATGATCATGGACATATGGATGTGAGTTATCCGATGAAAATGATGTGAAAAATTATATAGTTTTTTTTTTTGAATATAATGTTAAATTATATACAAAGAAAAAATATCGTTTTTACAACAAGTGCAACATTTGATTGAAATAAACTATGGCCGAAATTCTAAAGAAAATAAATACGATTAACTTCTCGATGCGAACCACATTTGCATCCTTTTGTCATAGCGCCTATCTCCCATATGTACAAAATGATGTGACCAATTATATAGTTTTTCGTATGCCAAAACCAAAATGCGATATAGATATACACTACAATGATTTTGTGGATTATTTTTTATATCTCCTTCTACTTCTTTTGTTTTCTACATCGTTTTCAAAGTTTTAAAAATCGATGTAGGCGGTGATTAGGCGTCCGTCTAGACGCTCAAAAGCAGTAAATCAAATCGATGTATCCAATGTTTTAGTAATTATGGTTCTTCTTTTTTTCTATCTTCTTCGACATCTTTTATTTTTTACATCGTCCATTAGTCCTTTGTAATCAACATGTCAAGTGATCATATGTAAAACGTTATTATTATTTTAAATTTTTTAACATTTTACCCAAAAGAAAGAATTACGTGACAAAAAAGTAACTTATTGTGTCGGCTATCATTAGATAAACAGACGCTTATATGGCTTCTCTTGATCTCTTTATGATAAGGGAGTACCTATATTTTCGGTCCGACTCTATTCTTCAAATTTAATTATGATGCTATCTTTTAATTCTAATCAATTCATTGATGCTTCTTTTAAATCAAATTAAAGTTTGAAAATGATTAGAATGAATGGTGAAAAACCAATGTAATATCATGTGTGGTGACCATCTCAATGTATTAAAGTGATAAGAAAATACAATTTTTGTAAAAATGGTTTAAAATCTACATATGTGATTATTATTCTTTACATTAATTCTCATACGTACCAATCCATATATTTAAGGGATCGGGGAAACTATAATTAAAAGTAGAAATTTTTTGTCGCAATTACTATCATGAAAATTTAATAATCAAATATCACAACTATTTTTTGATTTGTGACCAAAACTATTAGCTTTTAACAGTATAAAACTAAAAAAAGAAATATTTGAAGTTCAAATATTTAGGTTATATTCTTATAAATTAACGAAAACAGTTTTGGATAAGTAGTTTTTACTAACAAAAATTGTAATAATATAGATGTATATAGTTGTCAACTTATAATCATTTATATATTTATAAATTTATTATGGATAGAGACAAACCGATATTCAAAGCCAAAAACTGGCTATTAAAATTAATATACATACATTGTTGATTGTTGAATGAGAATATAAATACAAAGGATTCTCTAGAATTTTCAAAAGCAAACGTTTATGAGTTGATCATTTATATTTTGAAGACTTATAAAAAAAAAGGCATTTTTTATCCTTACACCTCATAATTTGCATGTGAGCCAAAATAATTGAGGCCCTACTTTAATCATGACTTTCATTTCTATATTACAAATCACAAAATATCACTATAGCTCCATTGTATTTATTCGACCATTGTTGTTTTAAAATTTCTCAACTTGTCTATAAATTTAAAGAGCATGTACATATAAAATATGTATGAAAGGATTTCTTTTGTATGAGATTTTTCAAAAGGATCGTTGTCGTTTAATATAGAGATAGCGATAACGTAAACAAGAAAAACGAGCTTAGTGATAAAGACAACGATGATGGCGGTGTCAAGACAATATTCTAAAGTTGCATTATTAACTAGTCATGGGGACTTAATATTCAAAACTCGAGGTTGTATATCAATATTTCATGAATGTTGTAAAATAACATTTTTTGCAAAAACGATGGCCGCAATATTCGTTAAAAGTATATTTGTGAAAGTTGAAAGTATATAATTTTCTTGGTTAACTTACAATACAACAAACAAAATAACTTGTAGAAAAATTTCTAAGAAAATTTATGTTTTCATAAAACATGTTAAATAGAAAAATTTAGTTGTTCTTCTAAGAACTATAAAAAGAAAGATATCAATCAAAAAGATAATTAACTATATAAACTCAAGTATTTGTGTTGAAAACAATCGAGCAATATATGCATTGCATGGTTATCAACATAGTACTTTAAAAAAGAAAAGAAAAAGAAAAAACATAGTACTATTAAAATGGTTATGTGTTTGGCCGGTCCAATACCGCTAGGGGTTAAGCCTTTCTGATCAAACATCAAAAAGATAATTAACAATATAAAATACGCATCAGCATTCAGCAGTTGCATTGCATGGTTATGATTATGAACACGAGTACTTTAGAAAATGGTTTAGGACCGGTCCAATGTTTACAAGAACCCCTAGTCCCTAGTACACTTGAATTTCGGGATATCCTTAAAAGTAAAACCATACTTATGACATTTTTTAAAATATCTATGGGTCTTGGGCTTTTGCACTCTTGTCCCACCCACTTGGACTGGACCTAGTTGTGTTGGTGATTTTTTTTTTCTCTAGTTGTGTTGGTGATACTGAAATAAAATGTAACTGAAATCAATCTAAATTGGTCTAACACTATATATGAATAAATGTCAAAAACAAGAACTAAAAGCCTCTGATTAGTATCTTTAATATCACAGACTTGTGTAATGTCATTTTATGATCATGCCATTTTGATAATCAAAAAACCAAAGGATTGTATCGTGTATCTACTCTTTAGTTAAAGTAATTTCTAGCTATGATCCGATGTTGTCGTGGGCATAATCTCTTCGTTTTGTAACTGTGTTTTTCGTGTAGTCCAAAAGCCAAACCCCAGTTAGAATTTAGTGATAATATTAAAAAGAAAAAAAAAAGTAAATTTTTTCTCTTATCCCGATTTTCACAATGTTAAATTTTACCAAATAGAAGTTTTACTAGCATTATGGCCCCTGCTATGCATGGACAAAATAAATATCAATTTATATCATATATCAAAATATTTTGGGAAAATCAAACATATGTTGTCTTTCATATTTTTTTTAAAATAGAAGTGCATTGAATCCATTAGCTA